TAACATATATGCATTGGCAAGAATAGGAGTCATTTGCACTGCTATGGATGGGAACAATGGCATTACTAACAGTTTTCTACATGTAAGTTTCTGTTGCTTAAAGATTCGTAAAGTAATTTAATTAATCACCAAAGACAGTGAAAAGGCCATAACTCTATAGAATAGCCAATCCCTAGAGGGCCCACATGCCAATGCCCAACATTAGACTGTAAGGTCCCAATAATTTCTTGGACTTATTTCTGGGTCTATGAAAGTTTTTCAGGTAGGGTGATATTAAGAGAAGTGCTCACATTTTAAGAGAATTCCTCAATAGAATAGATTTCTTTTTATTCACTGCATAAATATGCAAATCCACCACTCCAGTCAGCGGGTGGCACTTATAATATTGGGCTCAGCATATGTAGCTGGCACACAAATTAATAAAATCTCAATAAACATTCTCTTTATTATTAGTGAAGGAAATAAATGAATTTTCTGCCACCACACCACTAACTGAAATCTGTAAATGGCTCTCCATTTATTATATAAGCATAATGTAGAGGCTCCTTAACAAAGGTTCTGATTTGGGTGCTTACATTTTGGAAAGTGGATTTTGCTGAAATTATAGGTATTTCTGTATTTATTATGTTTCAAATGAAATGAATAGCATCAAAAAGACTTGTTGTTGCATTCTTTAAGATACGTGCTTTAGGAAGAAGCAGGTGCTAAGTAAAAGATATCAAAATCTCTTGGCTCCACATCTTATACTCTATTCCATGATGTTGGAACTGGGAGTTTGCCAAGCCCATTTTGCCTTTACAAACCTGCTCCCTGTTAGGTTCTACCAGTCAGGTTCAACAAAGGAAGACAAAAAGTGTGGAGGAAAGAAACATTGAATATACCTCCTTTGTTCCTATTCCTTTCAGTGTCACCTGAATAAAGATCCCACACAAAACCATATTATTACAGTAGGGGCTGGGCTGAATGTCCAAAGTATAGTTTTGGTCATATCAGGAACTTCAAGAACTCTTCATATCAGGTCCCCTCATAAAGCAATACAACAGACACTGGTGAACTCTCTCTCTGCCTTGAGCTCTTGGTCTTACCTTTGAGGGTGGCCTCCTCTGAGACCCTGATGCTGTGGCATGAGCAGATATAAGGTCACCATCATCAAAGGTAGGTGTATGGTTTCAGGGTTCCTTCCTCTAATATTTCTTAGAAACCACTTCTAGCTGGGCAGCCAGCCCCCTTTCTTTGGAATCTGTGTCCTGATTCTGAAAAACCCCTCCACTAAATGAATTCTCAAACCACTATATCGTCACTTGGCTTTTTTAGACCTAGGCGTCCTAGCGCCTTCCTACCATTGCTATCTCCACATTACCTCATTATTTATGCTTTTTCAGCCTAAAACCAATCCTGTCAAATTCACTCTGATTAAAAAAGAGCCCCCTCCTGTTTGTTAATTGTGTTTATTTTTGTTTTTGTCTCTTCTAATTTTTTTTCCTTAAGCCTTGCTTTCTAGGAGTTTTACTATCACTAACCTAGGGAAGAGTGTGTGTGTTTGTGTGTCTGTCAGTCCATTTGTGTGTGTGTAAATGTTATGTTAGTACTTAGCACATCTTGAATATTCCACTTGACGTTGTCTATTATTTTGGAAAACTCTCAGCAATTGTATTATTCCTTCCAATATTTTTGCTTTCTTAGGCTATCTCCTGGTATTCCTCTCATATCTCTATGTGGTTGGGTATATTAATTTTAATAATAAACATCTCTCTTGCCAGATTGGTGTAGCTCAGTGGTTGAGTGCTAATCTATGAACCTAGAGGTCACAGTTTGATCCCCAAGTCAGGGCATATGCCTGGGTTGCTGTCTCATTCCCCAGTATGTGGCATGCAGGAGGCAGCTGATCAATGATTCTCTCCTTGATATTTCTATCTCTCCCTCTCCCTTCCTCTCTGAAATCAATAAAAATATATTTAAAAATAAATAAATAAATATCCTCTTGATAATTATAAAATATCAGCCTAAGAACTTTTCGAAGATACTTTCTTTTTTACATTCTCTTTGTATGGTACCATTTTGCTATGGTTGCTTTCTTTTTGTTCACTTATATCTGATGTTTTATTTCATATCTCCTTAAAGTCTCTATAAAGTTATATTTAGGTGCATATGTACATATAAATGCATCCTCTGTGTAAGCTTTTACAATATAATGGGGGAAATTAAGTCTATTGTTATATCTATTTTCATCTTTGTTTCATGTGTACCATATTATCAGGTTTCTACTTACTGTTCAAAACATTGTCATATTTATCCTAAGATAAGCATATATAACATTGCTCTCCATGTGTATGTGTGTTTTATATAACTGCATCAGTTGTATATCATCAACCTCTGACCTTAATATATTAACCCCAATTTTTCTTCTTTGTACATTTAGATCTGCATCAGTCTTTGTAATGGATAAGTAATATATCCTTATTGGATTCGACTACAAGTTTTTGTCTCCCATGGACAGCATTTGGCTTATACCCAATTTTTCCATTGTTATTATGGTAAACTACAAGGAAATTACTTGTCTTATGAACATGGGCAACTTCTTATCCTTGTACAGAACATAGGGGAATCAAAATACACACCTTATTTGCTCACCTGGATGTTAGTAATTATGAAGGTCTCACCTTCAGTAAAAGAAGAAGATACTACTGTCAGCTTTTTAAGTCAAAACACAATGCTTAATATTGTTACAATTACAGGGGTTCTAGATATTTTTCCTGTGACGGGATAATAAGGACTGAAGTGTTAAAAGAGCACCTTTGAAAGAAAGTTGGCCTACTGGACTGGAGAAACAATTTGAGTTTTGTAAGGGACTGGGTTTTGAAAGGTAAAGTATTCTTAAAATAATGGCCTAGAGATAAGCCATTAATTTTTATAGATTTTTTTTAAAGTGCTCATATTTTTCCTTTTCTAAGTAGAAGATTGTCTCCTAAGCTATGTACCTGAAAAGTTTGTTTTGCTCCTGGTTATTTGTTTAGGGAGATATTGAGAGTCAGAAATTCAGTACTGAACATTTGGTAAGTTGAATGTGTATGTAAATATTTATGGTCATATGATATAACTTGGGAAATGAGAAGTCCAATATTTATTCCTAATTATCAAGCAGAAGGCAATTTCATACTCCTCAGTTGTGAGAGTTGCTATTTAAATGCTATGTACAAAAAAATAAAACACTCATAAAATTAGGCATCCTTTGAAGAAATATATGAACTAGTGAAGAACATAAGAGAAACAATTTTGAGATAGAAATTCTTACCCAACTTTTTGAAAAATCACCATTAACCTAATTAAATCATAAGAGCTCTTAAAAATGTACATGTGAAAATTTATACTAAAATTAATCTGGATATTAAAAGGTACAATAATAGGCAATAGTATATCTACACTAATAAAAGAGAAACATGGTAATTAGCGTACGACCGCTACCCTTCCCATTGGCTAATCAGCATATCCTTATGCAAATTAACGGTCAGCCAAGATGGCGGCCGGCAGCCATGCACTGAAGCGAAAACATGAGGCTTGCTTGCTCCAGTGACTGCAGACTCCAACGTTCCCCGCCTGACTTGCCGGCCTCTGAG